GGCAACCAAACAATTTTTAAAATATGGCCTTTTTATCTCACACTTCATATATAAGAAAGGTTTCAATTTGAGATATATTTAGATTAAAGCATAAAAGAAAAGGTTAAAGCATACAAGAAAAGATGGTTTGGGCTTCCAACTAACTTCCAAATATGTATTGTATTAAAGAAAAAATCAATGAGATACAGAAGTTAACGTGTATTGAGATTGCTATGAAGAATATCTCCCAATCCATACTCTCATGTACTGAACATAGTACTGTTAGTACATAACATTTTTACCATGTAATGATGTCATTACAAAATTATAGTTTCTTTCATTATTATTTTCAGTCACAATTAGATTTCAACTCCTAAATTACATTATACCAATTTGACATGATACAATTCTGTATAATATTCATATTCTAAGAAATTTTTCGAGTGTAAATTTATAATAAGGTCAAAACCTAGCAGTTGTCAGAAGCAATTCGGAAATTTGTGCTACACTTGTATAGCAATTCAAATAATTTTTATCTTTGATTCCCAACTTCAATTTTTACTGCTTCATTCAGAAATGATTGGGAAAGGATAATATATTTAAGCTTTTAGAATGTGTTCCTCCAAGAAAAATTCTTAAAAATGAGTAGAAATAACTTCATAAACTTTTGAAATTGATCAAAATTGATCAGACACCAATTACTAGATGTTTTGAAATTCTATGATGAAACACTCGAAAACTTCATAACATGATCAGCTAATGTAAAAGTGACTGTTAAAAAAATAGAGACAACATATAAAATAACCATTGAGCACTAATAATAACACAACAGATTTACTGCTTTTCAAACTAGAGAATTTGCCATACTCCAGGAATGGAAATAATTTCTAGTCCTGCATCATTGCAAGCTTTGTATACACTCCTTAATAAATAAATCATAACATTAATATTGACTCTTTTTAACACAACACCAATCAAAACCTTTAATAATTCAAATATCCACAATTACTCTAAATCATTAACATAATCCTTCATAACCAGCAGATCATCAGGTACTCTACTTTCTAGTTTGAGGGGGACATCATTAACATCATGGCTGTCATCATAACAGTTACCATGGTGACTGGCATGGCTGCCATCCTTACAGTCTCCATGGTGACTGGCCCGGCTGCCATCATTAGAATCTCCATGGTGACCGACCTGTTCCTGAGGTTCTATTTTTATACTGGTTACTGCCTCCATGGTAGTGTTATCCACCACAGTTAATCTCTCTGGTATAAGGACATCAGTACCGGTACTAGCATTACCTGAACAACCATCTGCAGGCACTGCAGCAATCTCTGGTTCCGTTCTAGAGAGTTCTGGATCCACCACCTCATTTTTTATGGGCAAAGATGGTTCCTGCTCTCCAGTCTCCCATTCAATAACAAAGTCACCTACAAAACAACAAAATCAATCAAATATTGTATATGTAATAGCCATTACCGGTAAGACAGGGCAAAATCTTGTATAAAAGCATGAATTTGCATCTCACCCTTTGGTCTCTTTCCTCTCTTCCCTTTACCGACTGCAGACTGTTTGCGAGTGTTCATATCTTGAGTCTTTTTCCTTCCACCTCTCTTTGAAGGAGTCACAGAGGTTTCCCGGGATGTTCTAGACTTTTTCTGGACAGATTTCTCTAGTTCACTCTTCTTTGGTCTCCCCTTCTTTTTGACTTTAGAATTTTCTTGAGATTCTCTTACTACTTTCTTACTCTTAGTTTGTAATTTACATTTATTGCTTGCTGATTTCTTATCCTTAAGCTGAGAATTTTTCTTTGTTTGGCCCTTTTTCCCCTTTGGTGTTTTTGTTGGGTTCTTCAGATGATCTTTCACTAGTTTCTTTCCTTTTGGTCTCCCTCTCTTTTTAAAACATACTCTAATATTACTTTGGACATTTCCCTTCTTCGGTTCCTCAGTAGTTTTTATACTAGATGAATGGCTCCCTAATGGTTCCTCAACAGTTTTCATAGACGAACAATCCCCCAAAGGCTCATTGCCTTGATTACCCTCAACATCCTTTATCTCTTTGTTTTCATTACTTTCACTTTGCATGTCCACTTTGTTTTCCTCCTTTTGGATACACTCATACTCTTCTTGCTGGTCTGGTTTCTTTTTGAAAATGAGTTTTGGTAAAGTTTGTCCAGGAATGTCATCCAGCAATGAAAATGCAGCAGTTTTGGATTGCTGTTGTGTACCAACACTATTGTCATCTTCCTCCACAACTTTGGTGAACCTGAATGGAGCCTTACCGTGACGTCTTTTGACTAAATTCGATGAACCTGTCGCAAATCTTTTGGCTGCACTTTTCCTTCTTCTCTCCAAGCTTTCTAGGACTTTATTCCTGCCTACCATCTTTTTCCTATGTGCCCTTAAGTAATATTTATACTCAGTGTCTTTCCTGGCTAAGTATTTCATCTGATGTTCCCTAGCACCTTTGTGCATGTTGTCTGGATTCATGAACCAAGATTTGGGCTTTTTCCCAGTCTTGTCAAAATTAAATTCAAAGCCCTTTGTGGCCAGGGGCAGTCTAAATCCTCCCTCATAAATGGTTAGAGTTGCAGGAGCCTCAGCTGAATCGTCATTCTTGGAGTTCTCTGCAACTTGAAGGTCTTCTGTAATTTCATCATTGATCAATGGAGTCAAGGTGACTTCTGTATTCAAATTTTCAAGAATACTGTCATCTTTGACATCCTTAACATCGTCATTCCCTGTTGTCATTGAGAGTTTTTCAGACAAAATAAGGTTTTCGTGTAACTTTTCAATATCACTCTGTACCCTCATGTCTCCTCCTCCCTGTTTTACTTTCAGTTGTTGGATTTGCACACTAGGTTTGTTTTTCTTTGGCCTGCCTCTCTTTCTTTTCTCTTTAATAATGGGGGCATCAGGAGCATTTTCAGGTCCTTCACGTTCCATAGCAGATGGCAAATATTCAGAATCTTCATTTCTTTCTCTTTCTTCTGACTCTGAAGGTAACTCGTCTTCTTCTTTGACTTTTATAGCCTCTCTTGTTTTTGTTAAAACAGAATTTATGCAGTCATCAACCCCAGCAAATGTGTCTTCATCACAAGAGCATTTCAAAAGTGCAGTATCTTTTCTTTTTTTCTGAATTATATGATTTTCAGTTTTCAACTTTCCAAAATCAACCTCAGGGTGCATTCTTACATGGTGCACTTTTAGTTGTCCATATCTTTTGAATGGTTTCTTGCAAGCTTCACAAAAATAAGCATAAGAATTGCCATGCATGGATCCTATATGAGATAAAAGATGACCCTGGATCCTAGCTGCATATGGACATATGGGACAAGGATATGGCCTGTCTGAGTAATCATGGGTCTTCATGTGAACATTTTTATTGGACTTGCTGGAGAACTTCTGTCCACACATTTCACAGGAGTATGGTCGATATTCTGAATGAAGAGCAACATGTTTCCTCAGGGCCACTTTGACTTTGAAGGCTCTGTTGCAAATATCACAAGAAAATGGTCTAATATCAGAATGTCTCTGGAGATGTTTAGATAAGCAGGCCCTGGTTCTGAAGCCCTTTCCACACTCATCACAGATGTAATCTTTTTGGTTTGTGTGGATTTTCATGTGTTTGGTTAAGTCACTCTTTGATTTGGTCCTTTGAGTACACCCAGGGTGGGTACAAGCATAGTTTCTAACATCACTGTGCTTGAGCTTATGGCATTTGAGCTCAAAATTGGTTTTGCATCTAAAATCACATTCATCACAAGCAATTGGTTTATTGTCATTGTGGCGGTATAAATGATACTTGAGATCTTGAACACGTTTAAATGCCTGAATACAGAGGTGGCAAGGATAAGGACGCTCATCAGAGTGACGCAAGACATGATGGCGGATATTTCTCTGCCATTTGGTTGTAAAGTCACAATTTTCATAGGGGCATTTGTATTTCTTTTCAGTGGAGTGTTTAGACTTGTGTCTTTGCAAATCTACATGTGATCTGGAAGCATACTCACAATCTGGATGGTCACACTTGAATGGTTTCTCATGGGTATGCTTGGCTTCATGTTCCATCATAACCACAACTGACTTGGCTTCAAAATCACAGAAGCGACAGTACTGTTTAGGGATGGAATGGACTTTCTGGTGTGCTTGTAACTGTCTTTTTGTTGGAAATGTAGCCTCACATTTTTTGCAAGGATTGTCTCCAATTTTTGGTGGACGCCCTATTCGTTGCTTCTTTCTTCTTCCAAGGACTGGAGATTCTGCTTCCTCTTTGACTGGAAAATAATCTGGGTCATTGTCAAAATTGTCCTCCTCTGATGACTCACATTCCTGCTTTATGTAAATATCAGGTTCAAAAGATAATTCAGCTCTTGCCTTCTTTTTCTTTGGTGAATTGGATTCTTTGCAAATCTGGCTGTTTTTCTTTCTCTTAGAAGTGCTTTTGTTCTTTGCAACAGTCTTTGAAGATTTTTGGAGACCACCATATTGGTTTTTACCCCCAATACTGTCCTTCAGTCTTGAGATCTCAACCCTCATTTCTTTGGCACCTTTGAATTTATTGGTTTTGCTATTTATTTTGCTTGGTTCTGTATTCAATGCTTTTTTCCCCTTTGATTTGCTCTTTTTGCCACAAACTTGTTTCTCTTTATTTGGAACAGTTTTCTTAGATTTCTTGGGGTTATTTTTACTGGAACTTTTTCCTTTGGGTCTTCCCCTTTTCTTTGGTGCTGAATTTAAATGTTTTGGTACATTTTCAGATTCTGTAACAAGTTCATTGAGATTCATTGCCTCATTAACTGCTATATTTCTTTGTTGCTCATCTATATTTCCAGTCGTTGAAAGAAAATCTGTATCGCGCCTGCACAGACCATCTATGTTTTCGGTGCATTCTTCCTTAACTTGTATCTTGAAACCATCTTTGTAGAAATTAACATTTGATTGTGCTAAACTATCATCTTTGTAGAAATTAACATTTGAGTCTGCTAAACTTTCTTCTCCTGTTTGGTTTTGCATACATTCTATATCATCTGCTTTGAGTATTTGAAGGTTATTGCAGCAGGAATTTGGTGAAATATTATGCTTTTCAGAATTATCATTGATGAGCCTCCTATCTGGCTCTTGACCTGATTCCAACACCTGCTCCTGGTTTACATCTTTGCTTGTAAGATTGAATGCATCTACTACATCATGATTTGACATTACATTTTCTACTCTACTCTCTAAACTATTTAGACCATGGCTGATTATTTGGTTTTCAGTACTATTGGTTATTACTTCATGGATTTCTAGATGTATGTTTGTTATTTCCTTGGCTGTTACACATTTTTCTACCCCCTTTCCAGTGTTTTCTTGTTCTGTGTGTTTTAAATAACTCTTGACTTCTACATTATTCTTGGAATTACATATTTCCATTGGACTTTGGGCATCTATAAGTAAGTCTTCTTTGGTATCCCCTGTGTCGGTGTCTATTTGTCTTTCCTGGATTCCATCCAAGTTTGTTCCTTTGTAGTTTTGACAGACAGATTCTCCCTCCATTTTTAGTCGTCTTCACACTACTGGTCATAATTCTAAAACAATAGTTGTATTTAGTCAATCACCATGTACACTAAATGATAAATCACCATGTACACTAAATGTGTTCAAGTGGTTTGAACAAATTTTATCAACTGGTCGATTATTAAGTTATTTTGCTTTGATAATTATGAATCAAAAAATTAATTATTATTTTTTTAAAAAAAAGATTTGATTGGTTGCCTACTTGATCTTTAACTTTATTGTAAAACAAGAGTTCTGGGTACATGCAATGCAATGTATCCCATATTATACTAATAGATAGTATATTAGATTGCTCAATTTTCTGATCACCTATTAAATTTATTGATACAGTTATCATGGTTATGCCTGACACTACTTAATAAACTAGGAAAAACAAGAGGTATAAATTTTAATTTTTACCTACCAAGGTGTATGCAGTCCTAAATATTCTTTAAAAGTGTTTGCATCTTCTGGCGAAACATTTTGAGGAGACCTTCACCTCTGTGAATATGATAAGAGAATTCATTTAACAAATTGCAGTAAAAAACATGAAAATTTATCATTGCCATTATTTAAAAATCCAATAATATTTGATATTATCTCCATAACAGAAAAACATTAGAGATGTTTACCAAAAAAAAAAAAAAAAATCTCTAACAAAGTATTTTTGATGGGAACATTTTATGTATAGAAATTTGTAGATACTGATCAGTGTCATTGATTCCTATAAATCCTTAACAAAAAGGTTACAATTTTCCATTCATCAAACCAATCAAGCTGCACTAATGGAAACAAGATGTTCTTTGAAAGATCCTACTGATCCTACTTTGACAAGTTAACAGTGGCTGCCAAATTGGCTAACCTTGTCGCCTACCTTTCTTATCCAAAATGTCTGTCTGCATAAATTATCTTAATGATTTTCGATATTCATGAAAAATTACAATTAAACAAAACATATTTATTTATTGTGAAACACGAGCAGAGTACTGTTCCTATACCAACCAGGATGCAGCTTAATTCCTTGTTGTGATCTTGTTGTACATAATTTTCTCCAAAATAAATAATGCAGGGTGAGACTAATCGCTCCATAGATGTTAGGACAATACATTCAGGAATTCCCAGCATCTGTTTTGTTCTTCGGTTTCAAAATTTTTATAAACATGATTAATTTCCAAACGTTTTTGATGTGGAAAGATCATTTTTATTGTTATTACATACTTACTGGGGGAATTTACTACATTTTCATTAAAATCAATATATCGTATACTGTTGTACACATTTATTGAATGCTAAAATGATTGACCGAGACCTTCATTTATTTCACTTTTCACCGTATTTCAATTAAGTATTAGCCGCAAATATGTTTTGTATTTAATAATTGACTGTTTATACACTTGAACAATATACCTATGGTTCATACTGACTATTTACTGATATTAGATTGCCAATAGTGGAACTCTTCTTACAGCGAAGTCTAAAAAGCTATTGTAAATAAAGCCGGTTTGGAAGAAAGGGATTTTGCGGAAGGGGACAAACAACAATCAGCTGTAATCCTCATATTACAGAACTAATTCTGCTTCAAGTACGACCAGTAATGAATTAATATATCTTGTTGTGTTCAATTTCGTTTTTATCGTAGACTGTGACCTTTCATTATGTCTGAAATTGACAACGAAACCGAACAGTTTCACGAAGATCATGAAAATGATAATGAATTTGACACCGAAGCTCAGTTATTGGAGAGTGGGGAAATTGAAGGAGAAACAAATGCTGCAGACGATTCTACGGCAGATGACCCGGTAGGTAGTCCGTCTATAATTTCATACAAGGATCGAAACTTGGACATATATTGCAGATGTGTATTTCAGAAGCCCTACTTTGTTTACATTTCCTAGTTTCAAATGTAGCACAATGTGGACCATTTTTGCAATATCAGATTGAAATGTCATGCTAATGTTTAAGGAATTAAAGTTATAAACAGCTTGAATTTAAGCAAAGTTTTCAGTATAAAGGCAAAATAGTTGATAGTATAGAAATATATTATTTGATGTGCTCAAAGTAACAACATATGGGGCTTTTGTAAAATATAGGCTGTAATTACACTTCACAGTGAATATACAGAAGTTATCAGCTCAATGTTTTCTATAAACCACAGCCAAAATGACCTAGCTAATTGTAAAATTATACTATTTTAGAATTTTTGGTGAATAATTTGTTGACTGTGCGACAGTAGACGTACGATAATATTCAGTTTTAATGGAAATCCATCTTGTATGATCTTTGAAAAAAATATAAAGACATTTTATTAAATTTGAAGGAACTAGAAGCAATCAAGGCAAGAGTGAGAGAGATGGAGGAGGAAGCAGAAAAGCTTAAAGAGATGCAGAAAGAAGTAGACACACAGATGAACATGACATCCCCTACCACTGCTAGTAAGTAGAAAATCTCATTTAAAATTTATTCATGCAACACAATATTTTAGACGGGGCCAAACATTTCCTGACCTATTAATCGGTAAAACTACATTTCATACAATAGATAGTTTTCATTAACAAGAGTTATTTCCCGTTGGCCGCCATCTTGTGGGTCAAACAAGTACTTTTCCCTCTTTGTCCTACCAAATATACGAGGGTGTAGCAGAAATATTTGGGGGAAAATCGTTATAGAATAAACATTATGAAATAAAGGAGGCTCTAACAAATGTATAATTGTCAGAAAAACAATGCTTCCCAGCCCACAATAGCCAGTATAAAAAGTTAAAGTTGGTTGAATTATGAAGGAATATGAGCAGGTTGACCCACAATATGGCGGCCGAAGGGAAATAACTCTAGTTAATTTGGGTCTACTGAAAACTATCTATAGTACACATGCAGCACAAAGGCCTGTATCAATGCTTTCACAAAAATATTTTACAAGTATTAATGATAAAATGCTTAATTTGTAGGTCCATTTCCAACACCGGAAGAAAAGATGGATGCTGACAACAGATCAGTTTATGTTGGAAATGTAAGTATTAAGTAAAGTCTGTGTTGCATTGTAATCCTTAGGGAAAAAAAGTTATTCATTGAATAAACCTTTTCGGATGGTATGAATAAACTAGTTTAGTAAAACACATTTCGCATGAATACGGCTATAGCATAGTGTTATGTCTTGGTATGACCTGTCTTGGTATGTTTTCACTGTTTATTGGAATTATTTATACACAGGTTGATTATGGAGCCACAGCAGAAGAACTGGAACAACATTTCCATGGATGTGGCTCTGTCAACAGGGTCACCATCCTTTGTGATAAATACACTGGCCATCCTAAAGGGTAAGTTATTCTAAAACAGTTTGTAAGCCTCTAAGACAATGAATTAAGAGTTTTTAATACAATATACTACATGTACATATATATCACTTTGTAAATAGAGTTACCCATGATTTTGTCAGTATGAAAATAAATTATAAATTCAGTGCCCTCTTTTAATATTATTATACCTTATTCAAGAATTAAAATAGACTTCACGTCTGAGAATATTTTGTAGATTTGCCTATGTGGAATTTGCAGACAAAGATTCAGTGACCACTGCCCAGGCCCTGGATGAATCACTGTTCGGAGGCAGACAGATTAAGGTAAGGATTGGGTTGTCCTATTATTGGGAAACCTTGATAAAAGATTCGTCTTGGTTAAAGTTGATCACTGTTCGTCAAAGGAATGTGTCGGCCATATTCAATCAGACTTTCACTATATCTGAGGGCCCGTATATATGGAGCTATAATTTGGTAACTGTTAAGTGTAATCAATAGTTACTGGATACATGCTATACAGTACTCGGTAGCAACAAAAATAACTGTATAATTCATCCAATGCATGAGAGTAAGATACCAAAGAAACTTACATTTATAGTTGTACAGGTCAGTGCAGTATATAAACAAACATAAATACACATAACTTCAACTAAATGTAAACAAAGCAGGGATTTATCAAGGCTGTTTTTACTACCGGTAAACGGTACCTTTCCCCTCTTGAAAAAAGTGAAAAATTCCCCTTTTCAGGTAGAAAATTCTCTGATTAAACAGAGAATATTTAAAACATCGTATTGAAATTTTCCGTTTTTGTCCGATTGAAGTTTAACAGCATATCCTAATTTACCATCCTAGTCATTCAAACGCTTTTAAAAGAGAGAGTAGAATATTCAAGCTTCTATTTGATATTGATCGGTAAACATGTGCCATGTCCATGATGACAAAATATACGTCTGGATTGCAGAGTTAAAAAGAAAAGTGTAGATGAGTAAGACGGAGCTTATATCACTATGGATCGGAAGAATGGAGTAACAACAAAAACAATGTTAGTAGTGAAACATGAAAATCAGAATTGATTTGTGATAGATATTGAGAGAAAAAAATTGAATAAAGTATTGACCTGGTTTAATTTTTTTTTTTTTTGTTAATTAATATTTTGTCTAAAAAGTGAAGTTTTTGTGGCCTTTGTAAAGGTCTACAAATGGCCTTCAGAAGCTCTAAGAATGCAGGATTTTGCTCCATTTATTTAAAAATAATAAAATAAAAATAAACAAAATATACGTCTGGATTGCAGAGTTAAAAAGAAAAGTGTAGATGAGTAAGACGGAGCTTATATCACTATGGATCGGAAGAATGGAGTAACAACAAAAACAATGTTAGTAGTGAAACATGAAAAACAGAATTGATTTGTGATAGATATTGAGAGAAAAAAATTGAATAAAGTATTGACCTGGTTTAATTTTTTTTTTTTGTTAATTAATATTTTGTCTAAAAAGTGAAGTTTTTGTGGCCTTTGTAAAGGTCTACAAATGGCCTTCAGAAGCTCTAAGAATGCAGGATTTTGCTCCATTTATTTAAAAATTTTCCGGGGGGGCATGCCCCCGGACCCCCCTAGAATACTCGCGCCTCCGGCGCTCAGATCCAGCCTGCGGCTCTCATTTTTCCCCTTTACATATAAAACGGTAGTAAAACAAAATAGCTAGATAAATCCCTGCAAAGGTAACGCAAGATGACCAGCATTAACACAGGTGGCGATTCCGTGCTGATACCTGTGATACCTGTGACAATAAAGCAGTCAGGTTTATGGAATGCAAAACGTATAACCTGGTGCTGGTATCCTATATAGTAATATCGAAAATTGCATGATATGCCTATTTATGAGTCGTGATCAGCTTTAAGTAAATTCTGTGTCCTCAAACCATTAAGCATTGTAGTGGAGAATGTAGGATCAAATTGACTCTGAAAGCTAGATCTATTTTAGGTTAAAATTTCAGAACACTTTTCCTTATCTATTTATGAACTTTTTAAAAATTGACAGGTCAGTGCAAAGCGAACCAACAGGCCAGGAATTAGTACAACCAACAGAAAACCACGGGGATTCAGGCCGAGGGGGAGGTTCAGAAGTCCCTATGGAGGAGGGGGGTACACACCTAGAAGACCAAGGTAATGCTTTTGAGGAGGGTTTAAAGTTCATCTTTTTAAAAAATGGCATTCAAACATTTTTTTTAAAACAAGTGCAAACAAGTTATATTCATATTGAACAGAGTAGAATTATGAACAATCTTTTTTTTTTTATTGCATCTTAAACCATGCTTCTTTAACTTCATTATGTTAAACAGTGATGAGCAATAAAAAATAAGTGACTATATCAGATAAAGGTTTGAATTAAAAGCATTTCACAAAGTAACAACAAATTTGGTTATGGAATCCTTGATCTTAAACAATTCAGTATATTTTTTATCAGTTTTCACACTTTTCACCAATTTTGTAAAATCCACCATATGTTCTTTATAAAGCTTCTGTTTATTCTGGATAGAAGTCAAGTGTTCATTCAACTTTGTCCAATGTTTGCCATCAAATTTTACAATTGATTTTAGTTGGAGTTATGTTTCCTTTTAAAACAGCAATAGTTCATGATAATGACCAAAAAAATTCTGATAAAATTCGTTATAATTTGAAGAAGTATGATTTATAAAATTTAACAATGTGGAATGTGTAACTTTACACAGAACTAATACATATATACATATGATACTTTGGGTGTGAAATATCACCTCTATGTTTCACAAGCTTTTAGCCACATAGGTAAGCATTTTGAATTTGGAAGAAATTTTGATATCCTGTAGTAATGCAGGGGACTTAGATATTGGTATATTTGTAGTTTTCAGGAGTGTTTAGCTTGTATTGAGTAAAAATAGTGAAAAATCAGAAATTCAGAATATAAGCATCAACTTTAGCATTCCTGGAATGATGTTGATTTGAAGTTGTATCTAAATTGCACTTGTTCCAGTAATTCTTAGCAGCATGCAAAGTTCTTGTATGTTGACAAAGTGGAAATAGGAGCCTAGTGTCTTTTCATCAGTATCAATGAACTGTAAGGAATTTTAAATTGCTGCTTTATTATATTGAGAGAAAAAAATTCAGAGATTACAGTTATTTCCCCCCCTTAAGAAATTCACCCACTGACATTAGTTTATATTTTGTTATTGACTTCATTTTAGTTTAACTGTTTTGTCATCTGCACTAGTTGTGGGAAAATTGCACATTATTTGTTATGTTTTATAGGGAAATCTCTTTCTTACACCAGAGAGATAATTGTTCTAAAATATCACTTGATTTTATTGTGTTTTTCTTTTCAGTCGATTCAGAAGAGCTGCGTTCTATTCTCCATACTGAAGATATATAGCATCAAATTCTTAACGTCAACTAAAAAAGAAAAAAAAAAACAAAACTATCAAAAGAAAACTACAACAGCAAAAACAAATATATTTGGCATTTACATGAAAAGAAACAACAGCAAAAAAAAAAAAAAGAACACAAACCAACAAAATATTCTAAAATCTTTAAAGAAAAAAAAAATAGAAATGTTTATCTAATATGAAGATTCAAAGCTAAATATTTTTTTTCATTGATTAATTACTTAACCATAAGATTTTAATGTGCCCATCTTGTTTTTATCATGTTCATGTGTGCAATACATTGACCGATACTTAGTTTTTGTCCTCTCCTGTTCATATATGTATTAGGACAAAGCCCCAGAGGAAGGATTTATATGGGAGGGTCCAAAGGAAGGTTTTTTTGTACCATTTTCTTTGTGATTTATTTCTTAGTTTCTTTTGCAGATTGGTGTAGATTGGCTTTTTGAGTGGTGCCATGCATCAATACTGTGTAAAAATCACTCCAATGTACATCTGTTTGAAAAGTAAATTCTGTTTGCTTTGGTTGTTTTCTTTTGTGTAAAATGATTTGTGTTCAAGGGTTTTTTGCAAACCTGTAAAAGTAACCATTGGAGTGGTTTATTTTCACTAGTATATATAGATCAATAAAAAGAGGGGAAATTAAAGAAAAAAAGCTAGAGAAAAAAAAAAATAAGAATAGAAAAAAAATCGCATAACCCCCATAAAAAAAATAGAATTTTGATTTTTGGAAAAGAAATACACACAAAAAATGAAAATGACTAGGAAAGAAGAGGAAAGAGTTGTCTGGCAGAGGATGAAGATGAGAAACCCAACAGACGAGGCCATCTTCTGGATACTAGTACCTTGGAGGAGATGATTCTGTGTATTTACTGATTTTTAGATTCAATAAAGTATGAATAAAAAAAACTTCTTTTTTTTTTAAGCCCGTAGAAATCTAAATTTTTTAGCCATTGATTGTACTAGTTTTTATTGGATTCGATTATACTTCTGCTATTAATTTTGATGTCATTTTGCAGTACAGATAAATATGATTGAAGATCAATTTTTCATACCACTATGCATTATAATGGAGCTGTATACATTTAGAATTAATTGGAAATCAATAGCAAAATGCAAGAAAACAAGATGTGTTTGTGAACACTGATGCCCCTGAGGGTATTGCAGCTTATATTGAGGATTGAAGTTTCTCCATTGCAAGTCGAACTCCAAGGTCGAAATTGTTGGTACAGTATCCAAAGGAAGGTCTTATTACAAGGAATACACATGTGAAATATGAAATCCATATAGTAAAATGTTCAAAAGTTATTTAATAATGGATCAAATTCTAAGGTCAAAAAGTCAAACATTTATACCCATTCAAAAGTCTTGTCACAATAGGCATGTGAAGTATGAAAGCCCTAGCACCAACTGTTCAAAGGTTATGGCCAAGGTTAAAGTTTGCAAATTTTTGGTATACACTGTAAATAGATGAAACTCCAAGGTCGAAAGATTGATAGTACCCTAAGAAAGTTCTTGTCACAAGGAATACACTTCAAAAGTTATGGAAAAAGTAAACATTTTGTAAACACAGACGGAGGGACAGGGCAAAAACTAAATTCCTTCAAATATCCGATTACGACACAGGGGCTTGTCAAAATATTTATCTTCTTTTATAAAGTTACCTCCATGTATTTTTATATCCTTTATTAAAAGATAAATACGGGGACATAGAAATGTTATATGAAGGATAGAGAACTGGTCTAATTTAAACGGACCAAGCATAACATTGTGATAAACAGAAACTGAAATAATTTTGAACACAAAAAATACATAAATTTTTGTGGCATTTGATATTAAAAATCGAGGTGATTGTAAACACTGATGCCTGATGCAGGTCTAGAGTTTTGGTCACCAATGTTTAAAATTTATGCCAAGTATTTGGTAAAATTTTTGAAAATGGTCAATGTTAAATAATTCGGTACTCAAGCAGAAGTGTGTGAAACATGAAAGCAATTGTACCACAAATATAGATATTAATGCCAAGATTAAAGTTTTTTGAAAGAAGATCATACTCAAGGTCATGCATCTTCGCTAGCCAAGGGTTTCTGATACGCTATTCTCCTCATGAACAACAACAAAAAAAACCCTTGCTGATTGGTCGACATGGTGTACCGAATCCCAACCGGAACTCGCGAAAAAAAACTTTTATTAACACCGTATGCCAAGGGATTATGAGGAGAGTACAGTATCAGAAACCCTTGGCTAGCGAAGATGGTCATGTGGAAAAAAAAAAATATTGGTACCACAAGCTAGGATAAATATAAGTGAAATATGAATGTTCTCTCACCAACTGTGAAATGGTTAAAGGCAAGGATAAAGTTTACTAGCGTTGGTCAAAGGTCAAAGTGGAAGGTTTTGAATATACAGCCCTAGAATCAACTGTTCAAAAGTTATGACCAAGAATAAAGTTTTGTATAAACAAGATCAAGGTCATTATGTCAAAGTTAAAATATTGGTTCTAAAGGAGAGGACTGGTCACATGAAATACAGAAGAAATATATAAAAGCCAATGCACCAATTGTTCAAAGTTATGTCAAGTTTAATGTTTAAAATTTTGAAAAGGTCAAACATCAAGGTCAAATAATTATATTGTTACCCAAAGAAAGTCTTGTTACAGGGAAAACATACAAGTGAAATATCAGTATAAAAACCGCATATAGCGCAAACATTAATTAACAGATGTTAAAGACAAGATGGTTTTTTTTTTGCACAGAAAGACGAACGGACAATTTACTATATAGCACAAGGCCATTCTCTTAAGGATATCCGATCTTCAGCCCGGAAGGATAACTCCAATATTTTTTGTGTTATAACACGAAAATTACGTGTAATATTTAATTTCAAATGCATCAAAACGAAGCTTGAATATTAAACAATGCAACAACTTTCATTTTATTCATCTTTATAAGATTTAAGCTTTTGGAAGTCTTAGAAAAAGTCTTATAAATGCTTACATTTGTACCCTGTAAAAGGAAAAAAAAAATAATACAGTTTTAGAGAAATAAGATTTTGTTGAATCGAGCCTTAGGTACCAATGCTTTTTAGCATGATATGAAGTAAGAGGTGATCTGTGGTGTCTTGCACTGATACCAAAAGCCTTTTACACTATGTATTATAAAATCCATGACGGAAATAGAAGGCAAACAAGATGTGTTTGTGATTACACTTTTACACTTTTCCTAAACGCAAATTTAATATTGGTACCCAAAGTAAGGTAATCTCACTGGAAATATGAAAGTAGACCAAGGTTAAATTTTTTTCATAAGTACGGAAATCTCCAAGGTCAAAGTCAAAATGTCAAGGTACTAGTAATTGATATCCAATGAAAGGTCTTGCTACAAAGAATACACATGTGAGGTATGGAAGCCCTAGCCCTAACCCTTAAAAAATTACAGCCAAAATTTTAAATAGTAGGACAAACTTCAAGGTCAAAGTGTCAAAATTCCTGATATCAAATGAAAGGTCTTGTGACAAGGATATTATATGTAAAGTGTGAAAGCACTATCTCTAATCCTTTAAAAGTTAAGGTCAAGACTTGCTTTTTAAAAGTATGTCAAATTCTAAGGTCAAGGTCAAAGGGTCAAAGTTCTTCCTGAAAGGTCATTTCACAAGGATTACATATGGTCAAGGTTTTTTTCACAGACTCCAAGGTCAAGGTCAGAGAGACTTTCAACAAAGAATATATATGTGAAGTATAGATGTCCTGGTATCTACTGTTCAAAAGATATGGTCAAAGTAAAAGTTGGGAATTTTGTTTTATAAAAGAGGTCAAACTCCAAGGTCAAAAGATCAAATTTGGCTGTACCCAAAGAAAGGTCTTGTCACAAGCAATACACATGTGAAATGTGAAAGTCATAGCTCCATACAATCAAAAGTTTAAAGTTTTTGCAGACAGACAGAGAGACAGCTAGACAGACGGATGTACACGACAAAAAATACATGTATATACCCCCGAAACTTCGTTTACAGGGGCATAAAAATATACCACTTACCTAATATTATTAGAGGCAAGTGTATATTAAAAAAAAAACAAAAAAAGTAAGTCAGGTGCCTGTGGACGCCACAGATTTACCATGGTTCAGATGATAGAAAGACAGTCAACAATATATGGAATTCAATATACAACAGCCAACTGATTACTACCAACTGCTTAATGCTAACTGCCAACTGCCAACTGCCACACATATTTAAACATATTACAATAAAGTTTGATATTTATTTTGATATTAAGTTGATTTTTCCACGAAAGCCCATTGAGCTCATTTTTGTAGGTTAAAAAAATAATTTTTTCGCGTTATAACGCGAAACTTTCGCGAATAAACGCGTAACTTTCACATGAATAACGCGAAACCATTGCAATATAGCTTTGGAAAAAAGCGGTAATGAATGAATAAATAAATTTATAATTAGTAAATAAAAGCTATGTTAATCTAAAAAAAAAAAAAAATCCTCGATAGCAGTTAAATCTTAGATCGTTACAGTAACTTTCTTATTACATAGTATGTAACATACTTTTTTCGAAACGTGTAAATCAATTATGACTTTGAACAACGTCATGAACAATTACGTGACGTCATAAAGGTTAAATCTGCGAATTTCGGGTAAAAAGAAACAAAGCAAGAAAATGTCAATCAGAAGGAAGATTTTTTGTTTCGGTGGAGTGGATGCTCTTTTGGCCAATTTTACCACTTATAAACTTGCGGATTACATATACTGGTAAACATCTGCTTGTCTAAAGTTTAATTTTAAGAATGTTTGATTTCTTAGAACTTATAGGTAAGGGAAATAAATGTTAACTCATATAGGTGATTTTCTTTTTTAGTCGTGAACCCGATCCATCATTCCTGGAGACAATTCTTCAGACTCTTGGTTTGCAAAAAGTTCCCGAACCTGTGTGTCAAACGTCCTTTGAAGTCATACTGGTATGGTTTCTGTATTTTATTCCGATATGATAAGGACCTTTTTACACCAGTGCAAAATGTTTTTGGACATTGAAAAAAAAATATTTTGTAAAAGTGTTAATATTGAGCATATTTATTTAATTTTCATTGTATGGTAGGTGGCATTTACCCCCAGGAAAATAAGTACTCAGTAAATAGAAATCACTCTAATAATAATTCTGGCCTCTAAAATTTTAAGAATACTTGAATGGATTACCAATTTAGTGCATAAATTATTTTCTGTTTTTAATAGTATTATTGAGATTGCAGAAGCCCATAGAGAAAGTTCTTAAAAGCTTTTTTGATCTAAAAAGCTACACATTTCACCGAAACTGTATTTCACACATTCTTATACTTATTGTCGAGAATGCATAATATTGAAGGAAATAAATTTTATATAGAAAACTTACAAAAATATCAATTTTTACCATTTCTGTGTTAGTTATACCATATACTATTTAATGCATGTATGAATTTTCTAAATCGTGGCTTTGTTTCAGGTTGTTGTGGGATGGATTGTCCTGCAGATAATTGTTGTACTTTTCTACAGAAGGAAGAGTGTTGTGAAGGTATGTTTTTATCAAAATATTTAGGATATTATGCGTGAATGCTGAATTTTTGTATCTCTAATTGTTAAAGGGAATAGTTATACATGTACATATAACGGCTTGATCCAAACAGAAAAAACCTCACATTAATTACGGACCACTTTTGGCTAAAAATTTCATTTTTCAATCTCAGCAATTTCTATGTACCTAGTTACAAATTCATTTATTTTCTTGATATCTAAAGTGTTGCCATCGCTCTTAAAAGAAATTTAAGAGTTGTCTTTGTAACATACTTAAATTATCAATTTATTTATTTATTGCAGGACACAAAGGTTCAGAATGTACAACATGTCATATCTGCTACAAGCGATAAAGTATCACTCTTAAAAGGAACTTAAGAGTTGTCTTGTAACGTACTTAAGTTATCAATTTATTGATTGCAGGACACAATGGTTCATCAGAGTGTACAAAATTTCATATCTGATACAAGTGATGTATCCGTTGCATCGCCAGTTGATGACATTGCTGAAAATGTCAGGGCCAGTGTTTCAGAGGGAATAATTTTCTTCAATGAGATTGCATCTGTAGACATTGGCAATGTGGAAAAAAATGTTATCGAAAGGTCAAGTATATCAGAGGGTACAGTTTTCTTCAATGATGTTGAACCTGAAGGCATTGGCAGTGTTGAAAAGAATGCAATCGAAAGTGTTTCAGAGGGAAGAATTTTCTTCAATGAAATTGAACCTGAAGGCATTGGCAGTATGAAAAAGAACGGAATCGAAAGTGTTTCAGAGAGAAGAATTTTCTTCAATGAAATTGAATCTGTAGGCTTTGGTAATGTAGAGGAAAAAGTGATTGAAGATCTCTCCTCTTCATCTGATGACACGGCAGGGTACTCCTCAGATGATTGCAACACTGATATTGATTCGGAAGTTGAGTCTTTGTGGTTAGAATCGGAGATGGAAACTTCAAATGCATCTGTTAGCAACATCATCACTAAGTATGATTCAGAAGAATCATCAGAGAAAGATTTAAACTTCATCCAAGAAAAAGATAATCCAACTGAGTGGATTCAGACTGCAAACACAAACGATGGTGTGGAAGAAATAAAAGATGAAGAATTAAATCCATTAGTTGCATTGGAGCAAAACGCCAATGTCTATAGACGAGACATAGATGAAAGTTTCGATGATAATGTTGATGATGTGGAGTATGCTTCAGATTTCGCCGAGGAAACCACGCAGTCCGATGACGAGGTCCTATGGATTCCAACGAAGACTAGTGCAGATGAGGGTAGTCTTAATCGAAATGATAAGCCTGAATGGAGTCAAACTGATTTGCATTGTTTGGATGTCACATCTGTCAAAGAACACAAGGATCCCTTAACGGAGAGTGGGGTGGAAGGAGCCATACGATCCGAAACTGTCAACGTATTACTGTCTTGTCCAAATCCTACACAGAACAAACTGTCAGCTGTGCACATGGAGGAGAAAGAAGATGGACCTCGAATTTTTCTTGGAATGAGAAGTGAGTCTGATTTTGGATACACATCCGCTCTGTCTGAGGATGAAATGGGCCAGGCGTCAGGAGGCAGTGGAAGTGAAACAGATCCAGAGCTGGAAGCTATTTGGCTGTCTTCTCTTGAAGTTGACGCTAACACCCGTTCATCATCAACACCCAAGGAAAATGTGGATGTATACAGACCCTCGATTCATGAAGATTTTTTCAACTCAAGAGGATATGAAATAGAAAACAAGGATACTAATTATGGAGATGAGTTACAGCTATCCTCAACATCCTCTGATAGTGGATCAAAATGCTCTGAATCCTCCTCTTTCGGTGTCAATTCCAATATGAAAGAATCTTGGCGGCAAAATTTTAAAGAGGATATCGATCCCGATGATGAATACTTGGTGCAATATGAAAAATCGAAGGATTCCGAAGATGAAACTGATGTGTTGAACCAAGAACGAAGACTTCCATCATTAGCTGATGATTTTGAAGATCACTCAAGTGCAGCATTTGAGAGCTCTTTTCAAACTGATCCAAATATAGATCTGTTTAAGAATGTTCCAAAATGTGTCGGATGTGGAAGTTACTTTGCTACATGGAGAATTAGAAATTGTGCAGCTTGTCGCAAACCTCCTAAACATCCTAATATATGCTCAAATAAGAAGAAGAAACTTCGTTGTAAATAAGATATTTGGAATTCACAATTTTAAGATTCAACAAACTTTGCCATGGCCAAAAGCGTCGCAAACTGATTAAATACAAGTACATTCATGTATTTTATATTAAAATGCATCATAGGCATGAGATCAATTCCTTGCTCTCCAATAAAAGATCTTTATGTTGCCTTTCGTTGAAGTTTAATTAACACGTGTATATTTAAATATTGTGGCGTGCCTTTACTTTAAACAATTTTGCACCGAAGTTTGTGAGATTAATATTATATAGTGTGTAGAGCAATTCGTACATGTAAATTATATGGTCTTCCCAATTCCTACCTCATCTGTTAATGGTGTCACCTTTATTTGCAGATCACAAGTTCATCTACCTTTATGTTGGAAAACATGAAAATATAAATCTCCAATAGAAAAAGTTATACCCTCTTCCAATGGAAGTGTTTTATAAATGGAGATAGGTAAAAAAAAAAATTCAAGAAACTCTTGGGCAGAAAAAAAAAATGAAATTTGGATTGTGTAGGTTCAAGTTTGTTTAAATCATGACCTCCGGAGTACGGTAGGGTCACTAATGATAAATTTTAGTTTTATATAAGAATACATTGGGGTATGTTTAAAATCTTCCCCTGAACAGCAAATCATGGTTGTCATATCACCCCTTGGTTTAGGGTGTCACCACAACCGACGATCCAACTTTTACCTACGAAAATCTTGAAAATTCATACCATATACAGTAAAATCACAATCACATTTGTATGAAATCATCCTCAAGTAGTGTAGACTAATTAGTTAATAGGTCTACAATAACAAATCATTAGTGATAGTACAAAGATACGAAGACAGTATCACGAGATATAATCTACTAGTATATGATTTTTATTTTGCAGAATTTTACAAGTGCTCCTTTCGCATTTCATAATTTACAACAAAGTCTATATTCATTTTGTCATAGATATATTTTTTTCTGATGGCATTAAATAAAAAAAATTATATGAATAATTCAAATTTTTTCGCATTTTAACTTTTTCTTCTTTTTTTTTTTTTAGATGGAGTTTTTTATGACTTAAAGTGAGGATATGAATATTGTTCCTGCATGGTTTTATCTGGGTTTTTTCTTAACTTTCATTTGACAACATTTACGATCCTTCTTTCATGAAATGGCAGAAAAGTGTCTTGTGCAAGTTTCATTTAGAAAATTTTCCGAATTTGATTTGCAAGAGTTATCTCCCTTTTTATGCGCTCTTCCGATAGGAGGAGAGAAAATAGTTTGGTTTCGTTATGCAAGGTGGACCGAGAAGATGATTTTTCCACTGGTGTTATATCATTTCCCATTTATCGTATCAATAAGAAAACCACATTAGTAACTTAAAAAGGTAAGTAGTTGTGTTGCAGAACATGTTACAATTTTTATTATTATTCTGCCTGTCGTAAAAAATTAAATGTTTACTTATACAACCGAGATAATTCGAACTTTGTTTTATAACCTTTTGTGTAATGTCAACAAAACAAGTATCTTTATGGTGGTATTATGTTTCTAACATACATTTGTTAAACGCTGATGAATATTATGCGGTGGTTTCTTATAAGATATTCATGTCGTTCGATTATTAAGTTCTTGAACTCAAGTTTAAGTACAGACAAGCATATGTACACGTGTATCAAGCATTATTTATATGAAATGGCCAAATTACAAGCCTGTATGCATTGAGTCAGTATATATATAAAAATTATGATTGAATGGAATTTCAGCTTTCCTCTAGAATGAACATGAAATCTAATTTTTAAAACATGTATACATGGTAAAATAAACTTCAGTTCCATGGTTTTAAACATAATATGGCTTGCCCTCTTCTCCCGTGTACTACATGTAGAATAAGATAGCAATGCTTATTTATTCATAAAGCAAAATCCAATTTGATAGCTGTCTTCTTATATTTTGTTATTTCAACAGGTTTCCAGCTTCCACATTGAAGTGATATAAAGTGCAATGACCCTGACAAAGCTTCTTAGTGTATACAGGGGAATAGCCAACAGAAGTCAGGTCTTATTTAATGAAAAATATCTAGTCTGGACCACCACTACAGTTTCGGTTGGACTTTATGGGGCTGGAGATCTTCTTGCACAACATTTACAGGTAAAAAAGAAGAAAATGAAAGGTTTGGACACTGTTCGCTCAGGAAAAGTGGCAGCAGCGGGCTTCATAATCGGGCCATTCATACACTACTGGTACATGTATCTCGATCGAATATTCCCAGGACGATGTTTCAGGATTGTGACTAAAAAAGTTGTTATCGATCAGGTCATCTGCTCCCCTATAGTGATTGCATTGTACTTGTATACCACGTCATTATTTGAAAAGAAAAGTTTGAGAGAAGTTAATAGAGAGTTACTTCCAAAGAGCATCGCCCTTTTCATTGCAGAACTGCCTATTTGGCCCCCAGCGCAATATTTTAGTTTCTTTTTCTTGCCCACAAAGTACAGAGGTGTTTATGACAATGTTATTTCTTTTGGATATGATACGCTATTTTCTTATGTGAAATTTGATGCAGACCTAGGTTGGACTAAAACAGAGAAGGAAAAACATGATTCATGTAGTGATGTAACAGTATGCATTGAAGATAAAATTGATTCATCAAAATCATTATGATTTGATACGTTAAATTAAGATGACATGTTTAACTGATTAATTGTTTCCAATTTTTAAATTACCAGTGCCAATTTCTTAAGATTTTTATGAAAAGTTATTTATTACACTGTTTATGTCAAGTTCTTTTCTAATTGTGTACTGCATGTAGCTGTCTCCATTAAATAATGAAGACTGGGGATCCAGAATTTGTTGGAATGTTCTCCAGTAAATTGGAATAAAAATATTTTATAAAGATGATGTACATGGCATTGTTTTCTATTTGTGGACCTCTATCTGATATACCCCATGTCTTGAACATACAATGTACTAGTATATGTAACTTTAATTTGTACCTTTAGCTTATTTTGTTTAGTTACATGTATGATGGTCTTGTTTATGTACTAAAGTCATAACACATTGAGATATACCTGGATGTCAGATTAGATATTCAAAAGAACATGGAAAATGGTAGAATGGAAACAAAAATAAAGGTTGGAATACCATTGGTATCAAATTGGAGCATTTTCATTTGTACCACTTAAGCCATTTAATTTTTTTTGTCAGAAAAAAATGAACGTCGAGCAAATCCAAAGGATTTTGGTCCCCTGCTCAGTGTGTTAGTGGGTGGGATGTCATTATTTATGGCATATTATGTCAAATATGTCCACCCTATCATGGGTCATTCAACAAGACGTTAAAAATTTTGAAATTAGGTCACAGATGATGGTCATGGAGGTCAAAACCCATAGCATGCTAGGAAACATCTTGTTATAAGTATTTTACATGTCAAATGTAGAAGCACTATCTCTTCTCAATCATGAGTGACAGGGAAAGATAAGGTTTTTTAAAAGTAGATCAAACTTTTAGGTCAAGGTCACAGGGTCAAATCATTTCTCTTTCAAATGTTATGACCTATTTAAAGTGATGTTAATATTTGTGACAAGTAGTCAAACTTCAAGGTCAAGGTTATGGGGTAAAAAATCGTAGTGTTTTAGGAAAGGTCTTGTCATATGTAATGTACATATGAAATATGAAAGCCTGCTCTCTTCTCATCAAAAAGTTATCCCCAAAGTTTTTGTTACAGACGGACAAACTGATAGAGTGAGACGAATGAGATTTAAGGTACATTGATACTCTGATAAGAGAGATAACTCTTAATGACACAAATGTCTATTATTTCTTTATAAATTTGTAAAGTTTAAGTGCCATTTTTTTTCAAATTTTGCCCCGCAAGCCATGCTTTAATTGTTTGTCTTTTATTCAGCATATACATTTGCTTTGGAAAATCATAAAAGTTAAAGAAAAATTTCATATGAGTGAGCAGAGGGTTTATGAACCTAAATGTCCCTTGTTTTTGCGAAAACGAGAGACAATGGGTGATTATCGTATTATTGTACACAAAGACACTGATGTAGATAGACGGTTTAGTTGACTTTGCTTTTCCGTGTTCTTTGTGGAGTTATCTTTCTTCAAACATAGTAGGCTAATGATTTATTGTCAATAAATAGTGTCTGAAACTCTGAATCAATAACTGCTAAGTAATGGTGTTTAGAGAATTTTTCTAATACACTAGTATGCACATACATGTATATTTAGTCAAAAATGTGAACTATTGTTTGCATAGATATGGATATAGAAAAATAATAGGAAACCTAAAATTGTACCCGCAACTATAAAAAAGTTTTAGATGCTACATTTTTTTCACGAAAAAATCAACGATTCCTGATTTGAAATTAAAAAAATTGCACTAGGTTTAGTTCAGATCATGCCAAATTTGCCAATACCTGAACTTTTTGATGGGTGTGTATGTTTACCCCAAATTAACAGACGGCCTATTTCGAACTTTTCATTGATAACCATTTGCCCCTATCATTACGCAGTACATGCCACCATGTGAAATATCTACCTCAGTAAGGTCGGTGTCATTCGTTGGTAGCAAGTGGCAAGAAACCGGGTTCAGAGAGGAAACTTTTTTTTCAAAAAAAGGAGAGAAAACAGATAAAAATACAAATGTTCCAATTCGAATTTTATAAGTCATTCAGTCCTTTGTATAATCTCACTCCTCAAGGTAAACCCTGCAAGTGATGTATGTTGTGTGACATAGAATCATGTCTTTCTAAAATAGACTTGGTTTTGAAAACAGAAGAATCTAAGCTCTTACTTTCCAAGACTTTGTTTATCTCCTAGATATATAAATAGCATCAGATATATATTCTAAGCATAGTACCAAATGGCATTGACAGAATCATCCTGGATTCAGCTGCGTGCATGAGTTGTATCAAGAGGTGTAACGATACAGCGATATATCGATCGTATTGATATCAAGTGCTCCCGCAATACATGTCGTATCGTCGTGTATGTATCGTGATACCGTACGGTATAAGTTATTTCCTATTATCTAATTTGAAAACCCCATACGACCCACAAGAACTTGTTTTGCATACAAGGCACCCCAACTTTTTCATCCATAATTCAAACAGAATCAAAACAAGAACTTTCTCTGTGAATTAACGTGAAATTTAATTCTTGCAATTTCTATGAAGTCCCCTATTAATTTGTTGTTTGATAATACATGTAATGAACAGAGCTCTTGATTAATCAGTTTAATGGTCTCCAGACTTTGGATAATTCGGAACAATATCAAAAAGATGCATTCTTGAAGTTGCAAACATGTTTTGTCTTAATTGTTGCTGTAACTTTTTACAAGTTATTAAATTATAAAAAGAACGTAAATTCCTTCTTTTATGTTTAACATGGGACCATACAGCGAAGTTATCGGAATTTGTTGTTGGGTAATTATAGTGTTATGATCCTGAGCATCACATGTGGATTTTTTACCCCGAATACATAAATTGTTTGAATAGATACCGTTATGATTAACTTTTAAAGCTCACCTGAGCTTTAAAGTCAAGTGAGTCTTTTTGATCACATTTTGCCCGACGTCCGTCTGTCTGTCCGTCCATCCCTCCATGAACTTTAAACATGTATTTGACAATTCTTCTCCAGAACCACTGGACAAGTTTCACAACAACTTGTCACAAAATATTTTTTGATGAAGGAGATTGAAGTGTGATCAAATGAAAAGCCATGTTCCTTTTCATGGGAAGAAAATTACAAGAATTGGTGACTTTTTAAAAAACTATTTTACTTATCCTCTCCGTGTCCTGATGGAAGCATGAGGCCGTTCAACAAGTGACGTCATCGGCTAGCACTGGCAACAATTTACTTTCTCCCGTCAAAGCTGTTCAAGGCCTCCCTATGTTCTGCTTCTCTCTCTCTCTCTCTCTCTCTCGAATTAGTCATATTAGTCACACTGATATAGCCACATTGTTGTATTGATTAAGTTCAGTTAAACTCAATGAATTATGTTTGCCTACTAAAACTCTCCGTGTCCCAAGGGAAGCATGAGGCCGTTCAACAATCCGTGAAACTTGTCATCCCTGCCACAAAACGAGTATTGGTTTTAAGTTTTGAAATACGCAGAGATCACACAGAGGTCAGAAAATAGGTCAATTTTCTCATTTTCTCATTTTAATGAAAATTTTCATTGATTTTACAGCACATGTTCTTTCGGAAAACATGGAGCACAACCTTGCCTATCTATCAAATTCATATATATATATTATCAACTAGTATCAGATGCAGTTTAAAAATCTAAAAAAGTTTAAAAATGTAAAACTTTCAGATAGGCAATGTTTAATTGTCTCATTTAAATTTACCAGAATTAAAACATAACTCATTCACGCTATAAGCTTTGAATAGAAGGGTGCACACTATCATTTTAAGTTTTTAATTACAAAATTTTCATGGAAATTCTTTCTTCGAAGAACCGCAGAGCCCAGTTAACTCAAGTTAGCGATTAGGCCCATGGGCCACTTGTTTTTTGATGAGAGACGAAGATGGACTAACAATGTTTAACAAAATATTCCTTTAGGAGACAGTGAAAATGGGCACTGAGTATCTGCCATGCACCAAAAACAATAGGAGGGCGAAATTACACATTTAAATGTTGTTTGGAAAGGAAGGGTTTTGTTTTGCTTTGAATTCAAAATCTATCTGTATATTGAATATTATAACCATGGTTTCTCCAGATAGTTGCTTTGTGATGAAGTTTTCTAGGTTACATTAATTCAATGATGAAAACCAGAACTTTCGTACTTAAGATTTTAATTTTCAACAGGTTTTGTATCCAGCTATTAACTGATCTTCTAACCAAACACTCCTTACTCTTCTGGTGTAAAACACATTAAATATAATTACAAATAAATGAAAAACGGTACATCGATCATAATTATCCTAAACATAACACTATATCCACCACAGCTTGAAATCTCGTGCGGAACAGAAAGGGGTTTTCAAAATGGCGATCCTGCGCGTGCGCTCCACGGAAACGCGGTAGTGGAGAGCTTAATATTTTATTTTCTACTCACTCCCAGAGACGCTCAAGCGCACATGCGCGACCCAGGAATCTATGTTTTGGTGAAGAAAGTGAATTGGTTTTAATTTAAAACTTTCTTTCATGCGATTGTTAATGTTCCAACTTGTAAAAAATGTTAAGAAATAATAAACACCCTGGAAAGAAGAAAATTAGAGAAATGCTGTAATTCTTTACCGTGTGTAGCCTTTAAAAACAATACTTGACATTTTCTTTAGATGCCATGGTTTGTTTCTGTTTAAATTTCGATTGCTTTCTTTTTTACTACTTGATTAGGAATTGAAATATTATTGCCATGAAACAAATGCTACCATATGCATAATGATGTATCAGTAACTGTGAACTGTGAATACGTATATGGATCTTGACTGTCAATTGGCGTATTGTGAGTTTTGCAGGCAATGAGCAACTCATCTCCACATACAAGAAAGGAACACTGGGTCCATTTAATTTTTTTTTTAAATCTTAGTGTTTGCTGCTTGATGTTCAGGAGTAAAGACAAAGATCAATGGCTTTTTCAGTTATATTTTAACAACACCCTTAAGCCCAGGAGGCTTGGGGTTAACAGTTTTATAGAATAAAGATTTACTGTGCACAATGAAAACAGTTTTTTTTTTGTAGAATGTGCATGAGTAATGAGAAAATCTGCAATCAGAACACAAAATTTCCTCTTACATGCATAAAACTTTACCTCATCCTGTCGAGTTTGAATTCTAACCACAGGGGCCTTGAATTTTATAGTTTTGTTAGAGAACAGGCTGCTTTTAATAAACCTGTATCAATGCCAGCAGTTTTGCTAGATATGTACGTAG